ACGAGGTCAGGAGTTCAAGATCAGCCTGGCCAAGATGGTGAAACCCCGTCTTTACTAAAAATACAAAAAATTAGCCAGGTGTGGTGGTGTGCACCTGTAATCCCAGCTACCTGGGAGGCTGAGGCAGAGAATTGCTTGAACCCAGGAGGCGGAGGTTGCAGTGAGCCGAGATCGCCACCACTGTACTCCAGCCAGACAGAGCAAAACTCCATCTCAAAAACAAAACAAAACAAAACAAAACAAAAAACAGCAAAAATACCATATTTCATAGAATCTAAGACGATGTCAACTAGAAGACCAATCCCCAATACAGAGATTTTTTAAATGTGAAAAAAAAAAAAAAAAAAAGGCCAAATGGGCTGGTTAAATACATCCCGACAACACAGGTGTTAAGAGTGTAAAAATGTGTCTCTTAGAATCTGTGACATATATGGTAATACCCACCTTACAGGTGTGTCTCCTCCCTATGAGGATTAAATGAGATAACATAGGTTAAGTTCTCAGCCCAGCCTGGAGTGAAGCGCTCAATAAATGCTGAAAGCTGCTGTCATTGCTGGTGTTGTCCTTGTATGGAGCTGGCAACAAATAGTAACAAAAGGATATACTTGATCTGGGTCATCATAATCTAGCAAAACAGCCTGGATGTTGTCTTTTCCTTACTCCAGGATAAGTTACAAGAAGCAGACACGCAAGGAGGTAGGTCCAAAAGTAAACCTCCAATGAAGCTTAAGTACAGAACATGCACAGAACTGACAAATAGCAAAAACGGTCTGGTTTATTCTGCCGACGGAGACCCAGATCTGAGAAATGATTTTCCCAAATCCTAAATGTACAAGAGAAACATTTTTTAACAGGGCATTAGTCAAATGGTGGGCTGGGGGGGTTCTTTGAATTTGGAGTAGGGGGAAAAAAACTTCCAGAATGTTTTGTTAGCTTTTCTAGTATTTGTTTTTCTTTTTCTTTGCCTCTCACTAACGGCTTCTTCTATTACATTCCCCGTGATTTTTGAATTGATTGCTGAATGCCTCACTAGTGAAAACCCGCTGTGCAGCCTCCTGTGATGTGAGTTTTCATTTAGGCCTGGAGGGGTCTGTGGAGGGATGAAGAGGTGCCAAGAGGTGTCAGTCAGGCTCTTTTACCTGCCTGCAAGGCAGCTGTTTCAGGACTAGTCTGGAGACGGCCTTAAGCCAGTGAACAGCCATTCATTGTCCTTTGTTGCCAAAGACAATGCTGCCAGTGGGAGAACAGTGATGTAAAAAACCTAATGCCTGGATTCTAGTAAGCAAAAACATGCCTGGCTTATGCCACCGCCTCTTAAGCAGTCTACTTCTTTTCTCAGTTTGGGCTCAGTGGCATTTTTAGAGACATGACAGATGGAAGCAGGGTGTAAATGAACGTGTGCAAAACCCCAGCCCATGTGAAGAAAAGCAGCCTAATGATCTTGTATATGGAACAGGTAGATACAATAAAGATGGCTCTCCGACAGAAACACAGACTCTTATTATTTTTCAAGGAGATTTTAAATTGGTTACTTCTCCCATTTCTTATTTCAACTTATTTCAACATCAGGATTGATGTAAATGGTGCCTAGAGAAAGACAAAAAGGAGTTTGTAGCAAGAGTTTATCTACCTAGTTGGGTTGGCTTCTTTTAAGAAAAGGAAATTATATGGAAGTTCCGACTGACTGATGATGCCATATAAAAATTAGATATTATACAGTCACTACTAAATTGATAGCCTTTAGGGAGTTTTGAGAAGGAAGGCAGCTCAAGATGCAGCTGTGGATCACGATGTCAGAGAAAAAACAAACTACCTGAGGAGACAGTGGCAACCTGAACTTTAAACATGTGGGCTGACTGGTTTGCAGTTCACAAATACAGCTTTTGTTTCTTCTCCGCAGCCCAATTACATGTGTGCCCCTCGGCATCTTAATCTTGCCTCGGGGTCCAGAGGCAGGATGTGCCCCAGTTTGGGAGTGGAGCTGAGTCACCATCCTGTGCAGACAGGGCAAATTCATGCCATGCTCCTGCCTCCTGCCTCCTAGACTCACTGAAGGGCTCCTTGGGGACTGCAAATTCCATTTGATTTCATTTCTCCCTAAGCAAAATGCACTCACTCTATCCTAAATTTCCAGAAACTAGTGTCCTTCAGGGTTGCCTTGGAAATTTTAAATGTGTGTACAAGTTCCACCTTCCTCCTCCTTAGTCCTAACCTGGTGTCTGAGATGTCGTGACGGCAGGCTACTCCCTGAGATCAAGCACCGTGAGGCCTTATTCAGTAATGCGGCTGAGTCTCAATGACCCACTCACCCGGGCCCCTTGGATCAGAGCACAATTTGAAAGACAGGTGGCCAGGAGATGGGTCTTACTTCGGTATTTGCATAAAGTGAAGTGAAGACTGGCATTGGCTTTTTAGGCATCACTTAATTAACTATGTTCTTGGTAGCAGTGGAAGCTTGAATCTCAATACTGATGTGAGTTCTACTTGTTATTTTCTGGAGAAAACAAAAGTTTGCTTGTCCAGATCTTCTCCTAGCATATCTGGACCCTCTGAGTATGAATTATAAGCGGACATCCTCTCTGGGCAGATCAGTGACAGCCCTCACTTTGTTGGCCCTTGGATCTTGGGCAGGAAACACCTGTGCAACTTTTAAGGCAGCTCCCAACCTGCCTGATCTTACAGAATGTGGCAAATTTGCTCCACCAACATACATGGTTGCACCACAGTTATGGGGAATTTGTAGTTATTTCTATTGTACTCAGAGTGAAAAACTAAGTATATTAGTATAGTCCATTGGTGCCTTCCATCATTAGTCTATTTCATTAATGTTGGAATGGTTTTATTTTGGTTTACAGAGTAAGATTTTTTTAAGAGCAAAACTTTATATTATTTCTTAGGGAGAAGCAGTTTATAAAAGGTCTCTCTTATCCCTCCAAGGATGAAAACAGACCACTGGGTTCCTTGAGGTTAAGAGGATGCTGACGAATTGGCCCCGGCTCCACTGAAGTCAGCTTCCTCTTTCCCCTCCTTCTCCCCTTCAAGCCAGGTAGACTATCACTGCCCGCTGTCTGGGACTGGGCTGCCCCTCACCGAGTGTCTGCCTTTCTGCCTGAAGGAGATCAGTCTAGAATCAATTTCCTTATTGGTTTGGGTGACTGGATGCTCGGAGAATCAGATAAGCTATGGATGGACATTATCTTCAGAAAAATACAAACATTCCTAACTTCCAGTTTTTCTCATGCAGTTTTAGTATGTTCAGGAATCCAGGTCAAGAAAGGGGTTTGAAATCTGTTTTTGTGCTAGCAATCTTCTGGCAGTCTGATGACCTTGCAGGACCCCCCTCTTAGGATAATAATTTGGTGCATAAAGTAAAATACACAGGCTTTTAAGATAAACCAATTATATTGAAATAGTTACCAAAATTGTAAAACCTTTTGTGATACAGAAATCTGTATGTGCTTTTATGTCAATGTATTAAATAAAAAGATCTAATGGTGAGTCTAATAACCACTGTAATTTTGTACTGATGAGCACAAAAGATACTTTACAACGTCTGCCCCTCTGTGATGTGACATGAAAGCCTCTGTGTCTTCCACTGGGTTCATCATTGAAGTGGTGCTAAATTTCAGTTAGAGGTTAGTAAAAATAGAGGGGCATTTCTCTCCTATCAAGATCCTGGACCTTAGGTCAAGAACCCCTGAGACAGAAGGATTCTGAGTGTGGCTTGTTGGGTGTGGCTCTGGGTCTGGCTGCCTCAGCCCCTTCTGTCTCAGGCCACAGGGGGGACTGTGGGGCTCCTGTTTACCGACTGAGACAAACTGAGGCTATCGTGATTTTTATATTCTGTTAGAAGAATTAAAGGGGGCACGCACAGTGGCTTCTGTCCTGTCCTCACTTGTAGGGGGAGAAAAGGGGGTAGTAAGAGAGATCAGCGGGCCAGCTGTGAGCCAGGAACTGCTGCCTTCTCCAGCACAGAGGTGAGGCACAGGGATCCCCTCTGTGAAGCTACCCTGGGCCTGGGAGATGGGTCTCTGTTGTGTCTTTTAGTTTGGGATGAAAAAAACACAGTCCTCTTATTTTAAAAAGGATTTGAGGCTGGGTGTGGTGGCTCACCACCTGTCATCCCAGCACTTCGGGAGGCTGAGGTGGGTGGATCACTTGAGGTCAGGAGTTCGAGACCAGCCTAGCCAATGTGGTGAAACCCCATCTCTACTAAAATCACAAAAATTGGCTGGGCATGATGGCATGCACCTGTTGTCCCAGTTACATGGGAAGCTGAGGCAGGAGAATTGCTTGAACCTGGGAGGTGGAGGTTGCAGTGAGCTGAGGTCATGCCACTGCACTCCAGCCTGGGCAACAGAGTGAGACTCTGTCTCAAAACAAAACAAACAAACAAACAAAAAAAACCCACAAATGAACAACAACAACAACAAAAAAAACCACGAGAATTCGAGGCACATTTTACTGAGTTGCCTCTTGCCTTAACTTCACCTTTGGTACTCACCTAAGTGGGGAGCCCTCTGTGGCAGCCTCCACCCTGGGAAGTCATGATGGCTTGTTTTTGCTTCTTATCCTCCCACCGGCTTACTGAATGATGCTAACATATCGTACCTCTGCCAAAAATGCTAAGTAGAAGCTTTGGGAGGTATAAGAGTGTTTCACCATACTTGAAATACGAAATGGCGTCTCACTGTAACCGTGAAGTCATGATTAGCTGAGCTACTGCTGAAAACACCAGGGAAAAGCACAACTCTCTGATTGGGATGCTGGAGCTCAGGTCTGTCTGAGGATGAAAAGTTCAAGTTCTAGACAAAAGAAAGTGCTTTTCCTGCTGGGTGACGGGAGGAATCACACACTTCCTAGGGAAGCCTCTCAAAGCAGCTTCCTTGGCAGGGGCTCTCCTGAAACTGGGCTTCATGGCCATTTGAAGGCACATCATGACCTGATTTTCACCAGGAAAATGGTTTCTGAAAGAGGCTCACAGAATATCATCTGCTTACCAATTTTACTTCTTGCTTCATTTATACTTTCTCCCAGGGCCTTGGCTTCAGAAAATCTGGAGGGGAAAAAAAAATGAAAATTATAGTTTTTCTGTTCATCCTCCATGATATTTTAAAAATAATAGATTTCTGAGAGGCCACTAAAATATGATGAAACTTTATTGAAAGACACAAAAGAAAAATCTAAATAAGTAAAATATATTAGGCTTAAAAATAGAGAGAAAATTGGTATTAACCATAGGTATTGTTAATTTTTACTCTATCCAGCACAGAATTTGTATTCTCATATTCTCTCACTTATGGCTTTTAATTTACATGGTTTCATGATGTAAGGATATCAGAGTAAAGCCTGGCTGTAAGGTTTCTGTTCTATGTTCTATTGATTATGATACCAAGATCTTATAACCAAAGAATATATACTTAAATAACTTTTTTTCTGATTATAAAATAATATATCAGAGGTTGTAAAACTATGGCTGGTTATAAGACAAATCCGGCCTGCTGCCTGTTTCTGTAAATAAAGTTGTCCTGGAACATCGCCACCCCTATTCACTGGCACATTGTCTGTGGCTGCTTTCATGCTACAAGACAGAGTCGACTAGATGTGATGGAGACTGCGTGGCCTACGACACTGAAAAAATCTTCGACCTGGCCCTTTATAAAAGAACTTTGCTGATTCCTGTTATGTACCATTATTAAACCAGATTTTGAAAATATAAAAACAAGAAAAAATTTCCCAAGTACTCCTCTACCCAGAAAGAAGCACATTTGATACACGTAGCCACCCAGTCTTCTATAGAGCCAGTATTTACAGGGTTGGGATCATACTGCAGGTATGATTTTGTGCCCTGATTTTTTTTTTTCACTTAGAAGTCCTTCCCTATATTATGAGACGCTTACCTTTGATGGCTGCATGCTAGTCTACCAGATTGTTGTGCTAATGTTTAGTGAGTGATTCCTTTATGTTTCTGGCCTATGTTTATGAGACACCCACGATGAGCCAACTATGTGCTAGAGAAGCAGACAGGACATGGCCTAAGTGAGAACATGTAGTTCAGTCCCTATACATAGTGGGCCCTCATGAAATGTTAGTTGTTTTCCCTCCTCTCCTTTCTGCCATGAAGTTAAAGAGACAATTGAAAGCCTATGAAAGCAAGCACCTAATATATGGCTGAATTAAATGACTGTGCCTTGGAGGGTGCTAGTCATGCCATTAGAGTTTGACTAGGGAGTGACCTGTCCATGAGTGAGTGGGGAGCCGTCAGGAAAGCTTCACGTACAAGGTGGGAGTGACCTGGGTTTTGTGGATCCAGAGGAGTTTTTAGAAAATGCTTTATTATGAAAATTTCCAAATATACACAAAATAGAATAGTAGAATGAACCCTAACATACCCAGCATCATATTTTATTAATTGTCCAGTTTTATTTCAACTATTTCCCCCCCGCCTCTTCTATTCTCACTTCCCCCTCTCTAATATCCCAGCAAATCCGAGATAGCCTATTGTTTTATCCTTGAACACTTTAGTTGCCTGGGATTGTGTTGGAGGAAGTGAGCAGAGGAGGGCATTCCAGGCAGGGGAACAACATAAGCAAAGGCCAGAGTGCCACGACTGCTCTGTGTTGGATGGAAAAGAAGTGTGAATTATGTCATTGCTATTTTCCAAATCTGTCTGCTTGGCCTGGAACTGTAGACAGGAGGTTTTCAGGGAAGGGGACTAAACTTTTTCTCAATGTTAGCTTCTTGGGACTCCGCCCCTGGCTCCCTTATTAAGGCTGGTCATGCTCATTGTAGATTATGTATGTCCTCTCCTATGTCCTGTCACCTTCCAGGGAGAAGTACAGTTCCACTTCATGCAATTCACACATTTACACGATGCACAGGTCACCGTGCTGGGCTCTATGGGCTCACATGGCCTCTGCTGCTGGGCAGGGATAAGGTGACATTTGCTGCAGGCCATTCAGAAGATGAGGACCATCTTCAACTCTCCACTCTGCCAAGGGAGGGCCTATGACCATTTCATCACTGTTCTGTCCATCCCCAGTACCTAGGATTTATAGGATCTGACAGTCACACGTTGCTCAATGAGTGACTCCTCCCATTTCCTATTCCATAGATGTCTAGAAGCTTTAGACGCTTTGGAATAAGGAAAATACAAGAGCAAGGGTGCAAAACTGCTGAAATTCACACCAGTGCTAGAGGAAACCAGAGTACAGATAGAAAAGGAAGATAACACAAGCAGAAGAGGGACTTTCCACTGCAGTGCTGCCCAGAGAAGCCCTGACAGATCTGGGATGGAGTTCCCCAGCCTTGGCGGTGCCCAGATGTGTCTGGGGGGCCTGGCAGAGGGAGCCGCTGAGTGCTGTGGTCAGCTCTCTCCAAAGAGCCGCCCTGCTCCAGAGCTGGCAGCAACTGTGGGGAAAGCCACGAGCTGTTCCTCTCTTGCTGTTGCAGCCCAGTCCTGAGCTAAAAAGGGCTTTCCCACTGGAAAGGTGTGGTCTGAGGGCTGTGCAGTCTTCATGAGACCATTTTCCCGTCACTCTGGAAGTTGTCACCACTCCAGGCCACCCCACCCACATGTGTTCCTGATCCCTGGTTGTCAAGACAAACTCTGAAAGGCCCAACCCTGAGTGTGGAGAGGGAAAGAGCAAGTGTCAAGGGAGGTAGGAGAGACGAGAAGGCTAAAGACTCGGTTAGGAAAGATGCGAGAAAGAGGGTGACCCCATCAGTGCTGCCACGTGCTTCCTGGCCCACCTGCATCTCCATGCCTCTCCAGCCAGCCCCAGTCTCCCTCCCTCCTCACTTGCTCCCTTTCCTCCTGCCCCTCTGTCTGAATTCTGCTCACCTAAACTTCACCAGGGGGAGTTTCCTGCCTCCTGATTTTCTAAAAGCACATCCTCATCCATGAGATGGCCAGAAGCCAACTTCTGGCCAAGGGGACATTGCACCCCTGTACAATATCCTAAGGTGCTGCTCACTGCTGAGGAGATGTGGCCTATGCTGATGAGGCTGCACCTTGAGGAGGGGCAGAGAGGTTGTGTAGCTCAGCCAGGACCACTGCTGACCGCCCGAGGGTTTCTTTCTACTGGTGCCAAAGCATTCCTATTAGGGCATCATTAGTTGTGTGGCTGACTTTGGGGAATGGAAGGTAGCTGGGTGCAGTTCCAGTGTGGATGCAGGCAGGCTGCTGTGTCACCTGCACACAAAATCCTGTGCAGGGGCAGGGGCTGGGCTTGGAAGGGAGAAGGAATGCAATGGTCTGGTGTTCTACTAGCCTGGCTTCCCATAACACCCGGCCTCCTCCTTTATAGCTCCCACTGTGTGCCAGGCAGGTACTCACAGACCCCGGGGAAATGCTCCATCATTGGCTTCCAAGAGCCTGGCTCTTCTGTCTTTTTCCCCCTCTCTCTGGCACCTCCTTCTCAGTCTCCTTTGCTGACGTGTTCTGCAGCCTGTTCCTTGAATGTCAATAATCCACAGGATTTGGTTCTAGGCCCACTCCTCACTTTCCCTACTCCCTATAGGCATTCCTTTTATGCCAGTGTGTCCTTGGCTATCTCAACTGACATCTCTCAAATTTCCATCTCAGCCCTGCTTTAGTTCCTGACTCAGGTATCCAACAGCCTGTTTGATACCTTGAAGATAATTAAAATCGACTGTACCCAAAAAGAACTAATCACCTGCCCTGAACACCTCCCCTGTTCTTCCTGTTGTTCCTATCTCAGTGCATGGCACCATCACTTACGGATGGCTCATGTCAGTAACCTGCATGCCACCCTTTGCCCCTCTCCCCATTAGCGCCTTCCCTCAATCCTGGAGTTTCAGCCATTCTCCATCCTCGATATCTATCAGAGCATTCCAGTTAGCTCCAACTGCCTGAGAGCAGAATGCAGTCATCTCTCTCCCAGATTATTGCAACCACTGCCTGCTCCTTCCCCTGCATTTGCACTGCCTGTCCGCAGGCTAGTCCCCACACTTTAGCCTGAGTGATTCTTCTTAATGCAAACCTGGTCCTGTTACTCCCCTGCTCAAAACTCCCCAGTGCTTCCCAGTGACCTCGGGAGAAAGTCCAAATTCCCTAACAGAGTGAAGTAGACTCTTCATGCTCTGGCTCCTGCTGCCTTCTCCAGCTTCTTCTTTTCATCTCCCACAACCTTCCCAGGCTGGCCTGAATCTCAGTTTCATCAAGTGTCACACTGTCTCTCATCTTGGGGACGTCCCCTTTACTTGGAGCCTGTCTTTTCCCCTGGCTAATTTCTGCCTAACCCCTCAGTTTCCACAGTGGCGTCTCCTCCTCTGGATAGCTCTCCAGGACTGTGCAGGTCTACAATGCGTGACACCCCCAGGTGCTCCCCAGCACCCTGCACTTCTGCCATCGTAGGCAGACGGCATACTATATGTGAATTGCCTGTTTACTTGTTTGTTTTCCTTTCAATACGGTAAGCTCCATGAGGAGAGCAACCACGTCTGCTTAATTCAGTCTTTTCTCTGGGGCTTAGAACAGGGGCTTGTACCTAGTAAGCATTCCATAAATATTTGTAGACTAAAAGAAGATAAGCATGTGAGCAAGTGTGTGTGCAAAGGCAACGTGTGCAAGTGAAGAGCACTGAATTGGAAGTCAGAGTAGGACCAAATGCCTACCTCACCTCTTAGCAGCTGGGTCTCAGGCTCTTCATTTCTAGGATTAGAAAGAGATGCCTGTCAGGGCTGGGTTGATGTGGAAATAGCATGCATGCAAATGTGTTTTGTGTGTCATAAATTCATTATGACCATGGCCTGGCAGTGTAGGAACCCCCAGTAGGGAATGTGATGGACTGTGAGGGAATGTGTGTGGGAAGCAGTAACCACAGATAATAGTTTGTCTCAGCAAACCAAAGGATTAGAAGGGATCTCTGCAAGTCAGTGGTCAAGGACACTCGAGATGGTTGCTGAGTTTCTCATCTTCAATGGGAATAAAAAGGATGGGGGAATTGAGGGAGAATCTGACGTTAACTTCCAAGACCAGTTCCAGAAAGAATCCCATCCTGCTGTGGGTGTGTCCGGCGGAGATACTCATCA